GTCAAGGCTGAGACTGAACCCATCTGCTTCTTGCTAACTTTCTTCCTGTCTCTGGTTCCTGCCCTGGGCCCAGAAATGGAATGGCTGGACGTGGGGCACCGCACCGTGGCAGGTGTCCTGAGCGGCACCTTCTGGACAGTTGGCGTGATGCTGTTGGCACTGGTCGGGTACCTGATACGGGACTGGCGATGGCTTCTGCTGGCTGTCACTCTGCCTTGTGCCCCAGGCATCCTCAGCCTCTGGTGAGGACTGTGGGCAGCTCGGGAGTGGGTGATAGAGGAAGTCAGAGACAGAATTAATCAGAGGCCGAGATTCGAATACAGAGTGACTGAGAGATGAAGAGAAAGAGAACGTCAGCGACCGAGAAACGGAAAAAGAGAGAACGAGAGACCAACCAATACAAAGAAGTTGGCACCGGATATGAGAAGCAGAGAAACACAGGACGACATATAGAGAGACTGTGGAGAGAGAGACAGAATCAGTGAGAGGTAGAAAGTGACAGAGACCAGGACTGAAAGGCGGATTCAGAGGGACAGATAGAGATGGTTGAAGCAGGGACAAGAGAGACAGGGATGGAGAGACAGGGCCAGCACAGGGGTAGGGAGCCCAAGCAGGAGGGTAGGAAGCCAGGCAGGGTGGGCATTTCATCACCTCCCCAAAATGAACTGGCTTTTGATGCCCTTTGGGGATTTCTGTATGTCTGTCTCTCCTTCATCCTATGCCCTCCTGTCACCTGTGGGAGAAGCGGGTGGCTGATGCTGGGGGCTGAGGTCTCCAGAATGATAGCAATCCAGTTGAATAGAGAAGGGAATTCTCGGCTGCGGTGGACCTAGGCCTGGGCAAGGCAGTGTGGGAGGAGGTGGCTTTTAAGTTGGGCCTTAAAGGATGAGTAAAAGTTCATCAGGTGAGGAGGGTTTGGGTCATGTTGAGGGACTGCATGAGCAAGAGCCTGGAGGTTGACAGGCTGTGGTATGCGCAGGAGGGAGATGTGGCTGTGGGTGCTGACTCTGCCTGAAGGCCCTCCTGCTGTCCCCCAGGTGGGTGCCTGAGTCTGCACGCTGGCTTCTGACCCAGGGCCGTGTGGAGGAGGCCCACAGGTACCTGCTCCGCTGTGCCAGGCTCAATGGGCGTCCCATGGGTGAAGACAGCCTGAGCCGGGAGGTGAGGGAGAATGTGTGTGTGAGTGCAGGCAAGTGCGTGTGTGTGTGGGGGGGGTGCATGTGTGTGTGCGCACGTGAGTGTGTGAGGCCTACGTCAAGCTCCCCCTTCCTGGGGCCCACTGTATGTGCAGGGAAAGCTCCTGGCCCCCAGTGGAGAGTTCCAAACTCTTCAAGATGTCCTACCTGGCTCCGGTGGGCCACATCCTTGACTCAGGTCCCACCCTACTCAGCTTGCAAGTGCATCCCCAAGAAGGAGGTGGCAGAGAGACCCAGGGAGATCAAGTGCCTAGCTAAGCCGTGTGCCTAAGCCAACTGACGTCACAAACTCTCCTTCTCTCCTGCCAGGCCCTGAACAAAGTGGCCACTCGGGAGCGAGTGGTTCAAAGACCCTCGTACCTAGATCTGTTGCGGACCCCACGGCTCCGACACATCTCACTATGCTGCATGGTGATGTGGTGAGGAGGGGCTGGGCCTAGCAGGGTGGGGATGGGTGGACCGAAAGGCAGCAGACTCCAGGATGGTGCTGAGTGTGAGAGGAAGATGGACAAGTGAACTGTAACTGTGCAGGGCAGGACGACCTGCCTCTGGGGGCATGGAGCTCTGGAAAGTCACAAGATGGAGCAGGCATCAGAGGCAAGGCTCAAATGCAGGCTCTGCCACTTCCTTTCTGTGAGACCTTGGACAGGTCACTTAACACCCAGCCTCAGAGTCCCTTCTGCAAAATAGGACGCTTTTAGTTCCTACCTCACAGGCTTGCTGTGCAGATTAGGTAAAGACGCTTTGGCCATTGGCAGGTGCCGCACACTCCCGAGGGGATTATGGGGACAGGGAAGGCGGTGGGCAGTGGGCTCTGGAGGTGGGGGAGGTGGTCCTTCTAAAAGGCCAAGGCTCCCTAAAAAGAGAGGACAAGGAGTGGGGGGTGAAAAGGAAGGCCCCTGAGTGGCATCACGACCCCCTTCAGGTTTGGAGTGAATTTCTCCTATTACGGCCTGAGCCTGGACGTGTCGGGGCTGGGGCTGAACGTGTACCAAACACAGCTGCTGTTCGGGGCTGTGGAGCTGCCGTCCAAGCTGCTGGTCTACCTGTTTGTGCACCACGCGGGACGCCGTCTCACGCAAGCAGGAGCGCTGCTGGGCACCGCCCTTGCTTTGGGGATCAGTCTGCTGGTGACCTCCGGTGAGCCCCGCCCACTCCCCGGAGGCCCCGCCTCCTGCCCAAGAACGCCCGCCCTTTCCCGGAAGCCCCTGCTCAAAGCCCTCCACTAGGGGAACCTCCCATCCTGGGAGCTCTGGGTCTCCCACAAGGCCCGCTCACTGCCTGTACCCCTTTTCTTCCAGAGATGGGGGCCTGGAGCACCGCCCTGGCGGTGACGGGGAAAGGTTTTTCTGAAGCTGCCTTCACCACTGCCTACCTGTTCACGTCGGAGTTGTACCCTACTGTGCTCAGGTGAGGGGAGCCTGGGCTCCAGGCAACCCACCTGGGGGAGGGCTTGTAGTCACATCTTTTTACCAACACCCTGCACACACACACACACACACACACAAACACACACACTCTGCAGCCTAGTTCCTCCCACCCATTCCTCACACCAGACCCAGAATACAGAGCTAATCAGAGCCATCTGTGCATGCTTAAATCTGGGAGAAGGCAGAGCATTTATCTTTACTAAGTGACCCTGAGTGAGGTCACACTTCTCTGGGCCTCCTTTAAAACAAAAGTCACGAAAAGCGCCATCTGCCCTGCCCTTCTCTTCCCATTCAGCACAGCCCAGGCAGAGCTGCCCTAAGGAGTAGTCTCTGGACCTAAGGCCTGGGGCCCTTTTTTTACTTTTTAAAAGATTTTATTCATTTGAGGGCGCCTGGGTGGCTCAGTTGGTTAAGCGACTGCCTTAGGCTCAGGTCATGATCCTGGAATCCCTGGGTCGAGTCCCACATCGGGCTCCCTGCTCGGCAGGGAGTCTGCTTCTCCCTCTGACCCTCCCCACTCTCATGTGCTCTCTCTCTCATTCTCTCTCTCTCAAATAAATAAAATCTTTAAAAAAATAAAAATTAAAAAAAAAAGATTTTATTCATTTGAGAGAGAGAGAGAGAACACGAGTGAGGAGAGGGGCAGAGGGGGAGGGAGAGGGAAAGGGAGAGAATCTCAAGCAGACTCCCACGGAGCTGAGGTGGGGTTTCATCCCACACCCCCTAGATAGTGACCTGAGCCAAAATCCAGAGTGGCCATGCTCAACCGACTTAGCCACCCAGGCGCCCCCTGGTGCCCTTTCAGCTAGCTAATTGGCAGGTGGGGAGAAGACTGTAGGCAGCTGGGTATGTTTAGAAAGCCTTACTCCTCCTCTACCAACATGGCAGGGTCTGTAGGAGCTGGGACCCTCTTCCTTCCACACTACCCTTTCCCCACCCCTTTTGTGACGACTTTTCTTTTCCTTCAGCAGTACCAGATTGATTCTGTCAGAATGGGAGTCCCATTCTCTGGTGAATACTGGCTTGGGGGTCCCTGGCCTGGGGACAGGTGGGAAGACCACCTGAAAGAAGCCTCAGCTTTCTTAGCCATTTGGGGAGAAGGGGATATCAGGACTTGCCAGCCCAGGATGGGAGCCCTTGTGAGGCATGACCCTAAGTAGGTGTGAACACCAACCCCTCCCCCCATCCTCTCTCTGAACAGACAGACAGGGATGGGGCTGACTTCACTGGTGGGCCGGCTGGGGGGCTCTTTGGCCCCACTGGCGGCCTTGCTGGATGGAGTATGGCTGTCACTGCCCAAGCTCGCTTATGGGGGGATCGCCCTGCTGGCTGCCTGCACTGCCCTCCTGCTACCAGAGACAAGGCAAGCACAGCTGCCGGAGACCATCCAGGATGTGGAGAGGAGGTGTGTGCACAGAACTGTGTCTGTGTGAGCACATGCATGTGGGAATGAGCGCTCAAGTACCTGACGCCTTAGGTAGGATTCAGAGAAGACGTGTCTGCATGTTGTGTATCTGGTGCTTCTATGCAAATGTGCGTGGGTGTATGATTTGAGGTTTGTAAAAGTATACATGAGTCCGTATGTGTGTGTGTACATGGATATCGAAGATTGTCCAGGAAGAGGTGGATGTGTGCACACTCAGGTATGCCTACACATCAGGGATGTATATAAGCATGTGTGGGAGTCACCTGTGGGAGTACCCTTGTTTGTATACCAGCAGCTGGGGAGAGGTGTAGGCCAGCCCCGATGGGGCAGGCTCGGGTGGGAGGCCCAGGGGCTAAATCCCACCACTGCTCATGACTCCTTCCTCCCCAGTGCCCCATCCAGCCTTCAGGAGGAAGAGATACCCATGAAGCAGGTCCAGGACTGAGTGGTATCAGGGGCAGGCCCTCCACAGAAGTTCTGCAGCAGGGGCTGGAAGACCAGAAGGGCAGGCCCTGTGGCTGGGGCTAGGGGCATCAAGCCCCCTCCCCAGGGTTGGAGTTGCCACCAGTGACCCCTCTCTGTGCTCATTCAGCCTTGACTATATGGCCTCTAGCAACTGGGTGACTGAATGCAGTGGGCTCCTGAATAATTCTGGTACCCTTTTCATGGCTGGGGGAGTTCCATAAATGAAGGTGCCCCATGGGTTTGGGCAGCAGTGAGTTGTGGGATGAGCCCTGGATAGGAAGCCAGTCTGACCCTGGGATCTGATCCCAACTTTGCCACTGATTTGCTGTGAGACCTTAGGCATGTGGCTTTCCCTCTCAAGGCTTCAGTCTGTTCATCTCTCAAATGGCTAATCAAGCCTCTTAGCAGACCTCACCACAGGATCTGTTGTCATGCTCAAACGAGATGCCGAATAACGTTTCTTTTTTTTTTTTTTTTAAGATTTTATTTATTTATTTGACAGAGAGAGAGACAGCAAGAGAGGGAACACAAGCAGGGGGAGTGGCAGAGGGAGAAGCAGGCTTCCCGCTGAGCAGGGAGCCCAATGCGGGGCTCGATCCCAGGACCCTGGGATCATGACCCGAGCCGAAGGCAGACGCCTAACGCCTGAGCCACCCAGGCACCCTAACGTGCTTCTTCTAGAGACTGTGCTAAAGAAGGGACTGCCCTGTGATGACTTGTGGCACCAAAAGGCTGGTGGGCATGCTGTCCACTGTGTGGTACTGGGAGCTGCCCAGGACCAGGGTACCAGGAGAATAGAGCTCTTTGTTCCCATGGCTGGCCCTGTACCTACCATGCACTTTGCAGGGTAATGCATCCTCCACCCCACACCTCCCATCCTCCAACCCATTGTTTAGGCCTCATGCCCAAAGAAGAGCTGAAGGCATGGGAGCCAACATTTTATTGGAGAAGCCAGAATAAACACATTTTTTTAAGTACTTGAAGTTAAAGAATTTGCTAGGGAAAGGGACTGGGAAGGCCAGGAGGCTACCCTTTAAAATGTGGTGGCCTATGTCCCCTAGCCAGATTGGAACAGGAAAGGGAGGAATCGGCAAAGTCTAGACTCCCTGGTCTACCATGGAGCCTAGGCCCAGGCCACTGGAAGATCATCTTCCCCCTGTGGGACTGGAGAATTCTGTAGCTCTCATTGGATCATGGAGGGGATGGTATGAGGCCTGAGTTAGAGTGACCTCTCCTGTGAGCATCTCATTTGGATTTTATCTCCACGGGGTCATAGATGTAGCAGCCCACATCACCAATGTTCACACCTGAGGGAGAGAGCCCCATCACCAAGGGCCTTGGGGCTGGGAGGTGTTGGGCTGAGGGATGAAGGGAATTGGGAGGGACCTGGGGTGTGTGTGACCACCCCAGTTTTTGTCCACACATCCCCACAGACCCACATGCCATACTTTAGGCCCACTGTCTGGGGTGGGGCCGCCCACCTTTGGGGCCAAACAGGTAGCCGTAGCAGGGGATGTGGCAGTAGGGGACGCCGTCATGCTGGGACATAGAGAGAAAGAGAACCATCTCAGCTTGACTCTCTTCCCATCTCCAGCCTCCCTCCTCCCAACATAAGCACCCATCCCTGCCCTGTTCACCTCAGCATGACTCCCAGCAGTCAGGGTCTTCCGGCAGCGCTGGCACCTCAGACAGGGTCGGTGCCAATTTCTGCCCAAAGACATCACCTTCTCAGCTGATGGTGGAGAGAATTGGTAATTCCAGGAGCAGGGCAAGGAGACCTACCTGCTTTGCACCACCTCCCTACACTTTGATGCCCATCCTCTGCCCCCCTCCCCAAGCTTTCCATTGTCACTTACCAAAATAGACAGGTTCCTCACAGCCAGGGCACAGTGAAGTCTCCCCAGTGAATGTCTTCATGTGGGGAGGGCCTTTAAGGGGAAGAGGCCCTGGCTAGGGCTGAGGCGGGGGCCAGGCCTAAGCAGGGCCCATCAGCACCAGCCTGTACATGGCTTCTTCCAAAAGCCATGCTCATCCCAGAGCCCCCCACCCAGCTGGCCATGAATCTTTCCTGGGCAGAGCTGAGTCTCCTATGACCCCCACCTCCTGCCCCATTCCTTTTTGCAGAAGGGACCACCTGCTTCCTTCTCCTCCTAGGGGATCAGGTACCCACCAGCTCAACCCTGTCAGCAACTCAATCCTTAGGAAACCTGAGCTGATACAGGAGCGGGCCTGTATGGGTGTCAGGTGTTGGGGAGCATGGTGTCACTGACCACTCTAGAGGATGGGAGGAAGGAACAGGGAGAGGGGAGAAGTGGAAGAATATGAGGGGCTGGCCCTGTCTCAATGACCTCTTACTCCTAGGTTGTTCTTCCATGGCCTTGGCCTGGGTGAGGCCTGAATCCCGGGCCAGCTTTGCCTCTGACTTGCTGTGACTGCACGAGGCCACTCACTCTCTCCAAACCACCTTGGTTCCCAATTTACCTCTTAACTCAGCAGCTGACATGAGAGAACCCCCCAAAAAGGGCCATGAATAAGAGAAGACTTTGCCACAAAGTTGTAGGAATGTGAAGCAGAGGACTAGGGTGGCAGACTGCCACCTGGTCTACCCTGTTTCAGCCTGGGGATGAGGAGTAGCTGGGGCCCAACTTCACTTACTTTTCTTGCCCTGGGGGAGGCCAGTCCTGGGCCTGGGGGGGCTGAAACTGCTGGGGCTGAGGGGAGTGGTGCTGGCTGGGGTGGGAGTGGGAGGGTTGTAGAGGTAGCAGCCCACACCACCAATGTTCACCCCTGCAGAGAAAACAGGGGCTGTCAGGCTTGAACCTCCAGCTCCCAGCCACAAAGAGGGTCCTGCTGTCCCCTGGCCTCTTCTAGATTGGTACTTACCCCTGGGTCCAAAGAGAGCACCATAGCATGGCTTGTGGCAATACGGCCTCCCATTGTGCTAGACACAAGCAGAGGAAAGAGAGCTGCTCAGGGGTAAAGAAGCGGGGGGGAGGGGGGGGAACGTGGGGAGCTCTCCTGTGTCCCACAGGCCTTCCCTCAACACAGACTGCCAGATGTGTCTGTCCATTGGCCTTGGCTGGTGGGGTTGGGAGGGGTGGAGGGTGAACTGGCATGTCAGAATTGCCACTGTGGTCAGGAGAAAGGGCAAGAGCAGGTCAGAAAATTGCTGCTTCCCTCCCCTCCCACCAAAAGGCATGGGGTCCACCCCCCACCAGCACAACTCAGGTGTCCCAAATCCTGGCTGGTGTGGGGCCCTCCGGGTAAGTGGTCTTGGTATTTGACTGCGGAGGTTGCCTTTAGTGAGCCTCCTGAGCCGAAACTGGGGGCTGGTGCTTAGGGGACAGTGACAGACACAGGGCTGTGCGCCCTGGCCAGGCCTCACCTCTGCATGCCCTCCTGGGGACAGGACACTGTGGCAGCGCTCACATTTCAGGCAGAAGCGGTGCCAGTTCTTGCCCAGGGAGCTCACCTTCTCCGCTGTGGGGGACAAGGTGGAACCGGACTGTGGAGAGCCAGGCCACGCAGCGGGCACCCCCCGTCCCCCCTCAGCCCCCTCCCCGCCTTTTTCCTAGAGACGATAGGGAGTGTCCCCGGGGGGGGGGGGTTCAGCTCCAACCCGCCCAAGTGCCCTGCGCCCCAGAGGTGGAAAGGGGGTCTGAGGCCACACCGTCGTCAGCTTCTCGAACGCCCCGGCTCACACTCGCCCCATCTCCCCCTCCTCAGCCCGGGCCTCACCGAAGAAAACGGGTTGCTGGCAACGCGGGCAGGTCCAGCTCATGGCTCCGCACAGGGCAGCCGGCGCCACACACAGTAGTAACCACCGAGAGGGGCTCCGTTCCCGCCCCCTTCGCTGGCTCCGCCCATGGCCCCGCTGTGAGCCTCATTGGGCAGAAACCGCAGCTCCTCGGCGCCTATTGGCCGTCAGAAATTTAGAACAACTGCGCCTGGGAGACGCAGGCGACCTCGCAGGTCTTTCCAAAAACTAAAGCCTCCGACCGGTGGAGATGAGAGAGGGACTTGAAGCCCGACGGGAAAGGAAGAGAGCAATGAAGACGACTGGAAAGGTGGCACTAGTTTCTGGCTTAGTACAAAGGGAAAACTGTCCAGAGTACAGACGTCATGAAAACACTGTAATTTCCTCAAAGCGAGGGGTCAGGCATTCTTTGAAATGGCTTAATTCCGCCTTGACAGTCTCAGGTGGTTAAGAGCGTCGGAATCTGGAGCGCATCTCTGCCACTTACTCTCTGGCTTCAGGCAAATTACTTAACCTCCCTCCGCATCCATTTTATTTGTACAATGAGTATGACGATTAATCTCTACCTCATAGGATTGTTGTGGAAACTGAGTAAGTTAGTACGTGCAAAGTGCCCAAACAGTGATTGGCACATAGCTGCTATAAAAGCGAGAGCTATCATTATGACAGATCCCATAATGAACTCAAGACTCTTTGGAAGCCTCAAAATGTGGTCTGGATACAATAGTTTTCTTGTGAAATTACAATGCTTGTTAAATTTAAATGTATCATTCAGACATCAATTACATAATCCTAATTTAGTTTTAAGGTGTTTTAATATTTGTTACAAGTAGCCCAAGAGTGCTTCAAAGGACACTTCAAGAAAACCCACAGAGAAAGGGAGAAAATATTTGCAAATATAGTATCTGGTAAGGATCCAGTAATCACAGAATATCTATATAAAGGGCTCTTACACCTCAATAATAAAAAGACAACCCAATTTAAAAAGTCAAAGAATTTGAATAGACATTTTTCTAAAGAAGATATACACATGGCCAACAAGCACATGAAAAAATGCTCAACATCATTAGTCATTAGGGAAAGGAAAATCAGGATCACAATGAGATACCATTATAGACCTATCAGAATGGCTATAATAAAAAAAGATAATAACAGGTGTTAGGATGTGTCAAAATTGGATTCCTCATATGCTGTTGATGAGAATGTAAAACAGTACAGCCCTTTGAAAAACATTCTGGTAACTCCTCAAAAGGTTAAAGAGAGTTACTGTATGATCCAGCAATTGCAATTCTGGGTATATACCCAAGAGAAATGAACGCCTATGTGCACACGAAAATTTGTACATGAATGTTCATAGTACTGCTATTCACAACAGCCAAAAGTCCATCAACTGATGAAACAGATGAACAATGTGGCATATCTGTGATAGAAGAGGATTCAGCCATAAAAAGGAATGAAGTACTGATGCACACTACCACCTGGATGAGCCATAAAAACATGCTAAATGAAAGAAGCCAGACACATAACACCACATATTGTATGATTCCATTTATATGAAATGTCCAGAGTAGGGAAATCCATAAAGACAGAAAAGTGGATTGGTGGTTCCTAGGGGTGTGGAGGAGGGGCATTCGGGCATATCTGCTAAGGGGGTATTAGGTCTCTTTATGGGGAGATGAAAATGGTCTGGAATTAGATAGTGATGATAGTTGTACAACCTCATGAATATACTAGAAATTAATGAATTGTATATCTTAGAAGGATGAACTTTATGATATGTGAATAATTTCTCAACAATAATAATGATAATGCCTGAAGAGAACTTATTTTTTTAAAAAGGTAGCTCAGGGAATGAGGGGCAGGAAAGAGAGCTGATTACTATGTGCCAGTGCCCCAGCAGAGAAAAGAATCCCTTGATGAAGTATTAGGTGGTGAAATGAAGAGTTTTCTGGAGTGTCTTTGTCAAGTCAGCTCAGAAACAGCTCAAGGGTGTGTGTGTGTGCTGAACTTAGCCTTCAGCTGCAGTGGGTGAGCCCTGCTAGGTGAAAGGAGTCCTATTTGTGTCTCAGGAGTCCGAGACCCTCTCTGGACTTCAGTTCCCTCACTGGGTAATGGGATAGGACTGGTGTCTGAATTTCCACTCAACACTCCTGTTGCCTCACTTGTCTCCATCAGTACTTTCTCCTTTTAACACTTGTTTTATCCTCCTTGTTGACTTCTAAAGGTGGAAGGCTGCACACCATGAAACAAACTTTTCTATACTTTCTCATTATCTGTTTCTTGTTTTGGGAACTATTTCAAGATCCTTAGTTTTATAACTGTTTCTTGATGGGCTTCTTTAACAAACTTGAAAAATATTAGTCTCCACCGATATTTTACTTTTGTGTTTCTGCCTCTCTCATTCGTTTCTCACAGAAGGTGGCTTGAGGTTCACTGTTTTTTGTTCTCTATGGCTGTCGTGGAGAAGGTCTTACTTCAGGAGGTTGGGAGGACTTCATTGTAGTCATTCATAGACACTGCATTTATTCTCCTTTAGGAAGGTTAGCTTCATTTGCCCACAGAACTATCCTTACAATTTCTGGGGCATATCAAATAATCTTTCACTGAGGCTCTGTAGCTCTTTCTGTGTGGGATCACCTTGGCCACATACCTCAGCCTCCTAGAGAGGTCATCTTTACCAGTGCATCCAGCACAGGGCCCCACACAAAGAAACAAGTGTCGGAGTGTGAGCGCCATGCTGCCTTCACACAACTTGCACTGAGTCAGTGGGGCAAGTGCTATACTGCTCCCGTCTTCTGCGGCCTTCTTGTGTTGTATGGCCATGACAAACACAGTGTGCCTTGTCTCTTCTAGTTCAGTGCTTAGAAAAGACTAGTTGAGGCTCCTCCTTTTCAAATATTGGCCATTCATTTGCAAGTACAGCAAATCACAGTATTCCACTCTTCTTCCTTGCCTGGCTTCTATTATTCTGTCTCTAAAAGAGGCTTTGTAAAGAATGCTAACAGGGAAAATGAACACTTCTTGTAGGAATGTACTTGTAGTTACTGACAGTGGCTGTTTTGAATAGTTGTGTGACTAAAGCCTGTAACGTGATAGTTTAACAAATACCACAAATGGTTAAGTCCAGTTGAGTGTAGGAATTACCTAATCAGCTGTCAGTGTGGAGTCTGTTTTTTTTTTTAAAGATTTTATTTATTCATTTGACAGAGAGAGACACAGTGAGAGAGGGAACACAAGCAGGGGGAGTGGGAGAGGGAGAAGCAGGCTTCCCGTGGAGCAGGGAGCCCGATGCGGGGCTCGATCCCAGGACCCCGGGATCATGACCTGAGCCAAAGGCAGACGCTCAACCGACTGAGCCACCCAGGCGCCCCGACTGTTGGTAGTTTTTGATGAATTGACCCTTTTATTGTTATGAAGCTGAAGAAACAAGCTTTTCAACTCAAGATGAGTGGTGGTGAAGATAATGGCCCCAAACACCTGAAGGCTGTCACATGGAGGAGGCATTAGGGGCACTACTGAGACCCCAGGATAGAGGTCACAAAGAAGCAGATTGGGATTCTGTTCAAGAAAAGAACCTTCTTACAGAGCCCAAACATGGGGTGGCTGCTTCAGATAGTAGTGAGCTTCCTATCTCTGGATGTTATAAATAACATTGGAGAACAAACCAACTGATCACCAGTGTTGCAGAAGGGATGCCAGCATCATACACAGACAGATATTTGAGTTTTCCTCACAACTGGCAGCATATGATTTTGTGATTCTATTACCAAAAAGGAGTTTCAAATTTGTGAGCAAGAGAGCACTGTTAAAATAGTGACAGCTACCACCTATGGAGTACCAGCCCAGGCACTTTACTTGTTATTTCTGATCCTACAAGAACCTGGTGAGGGGTTTAAATGCTACATTATCGGGGTGCCTGGGTGGCTCAGTCGGTTAAGTGTCTGCCTTTGGCTCAGGTCATGATCCCAGCTCAGCAGGGGAGTCTGCTTCTCCCTCTCTGTCTGCCCCTGCTTGTGTGCTCTCTCTCACTCACTCTCTTAAATAAATAATTAAAAAAAAAATGCTACATCATCAATTGTACATAAAAGGAGAGTGGCTTGGGGGCGCCTGGGTGGCTCAGTCGTTAAGCGTCTGCCTTCAGCTCAGGTCACGGTCCCAGGGTCCTGGGATCGAGCTCCGCATGGGGCTCCCTGCTCAGTGGGAAGCCTCCTTCTCCCTCTCCCACTCCTCCTGCTTGTGTTCCTGCTCTCGCTATCTCTCTGTCAAATAAATAAATAAAATCTTAAAAATAAATAAATAAAGGAGAGTGGCTTGGAGAAGTTAAGAGATTTCTTCAAATCATACAGACCCAAGACTCTCAAGCTCATACTCTTTCCACTCCCTGCTTCTAAGCATGGTTTCTGCTAAGCTGCCCATGTGTTTGAGTCTGAATAGCACCTTGTCTGCACAGCACCTCTGTGCCTAAAGGTAAGAGGACCTCTCCAGGTAAATAATGGGTTGCAAGAGACAAGGGAATGTCACTAAAGCTTTTCCATGGCTTCTCAGTGCTCTCAAGGTAAAGTTTTTAACTTGGCTCTAAGGACCTCACCTTTCCAGTTCTAGCCATTTCTCCTGTTTCTCCCTCCAGCCACACTAAATGAGCTTCGTAAACCTGTGAAATCCTTTCCTGCCTCAGGGCCTTTGCAAATGCTATCTCCCTTCTGGGAACTTGCTTCCTCAATATCTTCATCTCACTAATTCCTGCCTAACTTCAGGTCCCCCTCACCTACTCAAAACCAGGCTATTGGCCCCAGGCATTCTCTCCCATAGCATCCTGTGCTGGAGGGCCAAGGCGGTACAATCAGCAACACCTGTGTTTTCCCTACTTGAGAGCTCAACCAAATGAGGAAATAAAAGCTACATCTGTAGCTCAGTGGGAGAATAAAATAGGTTTGCCAACTTCCTGCCCCCCGCCCCCCCCCCCCCGAATTTAGGCTTTGTTAGTCTGTGAGCTCCATGAGGGCAGGGAACAGGAATGCTTTGCCAAACGCTGTGTATGCTTCCAATGCCTTGCTTAATCTCTGATACAGAGTGCTCAATAAATATTTATTGGTGAAAGAATATTAAATGTTATACACAAGTCTCCCTCAAATGTGAGTAGATGAGGGCTAATGAAGAGATGTGGAGTTAGAAGGGGACTGGTAGGAGTTAAGAGTTTCATTACAACAAAAGCCCTGGGGCAAGGGAAGCTTAGGTGGCTAGGAGTAAGAATTTAGGAGTTTGTTTCTTCATACCCATAAGGATCAGCATGTATGAGGCAAACCAGAATATGATTTAAACTGATCCTGATTATAAATACTAGATAACTAATAAAAAGAGAACTGAAAATCTGCTTTGGCAGCAAACCAGTCCCACTAATTGCAGTCATTCACAAGAACTTACTAATTAAGCTTAATTAGCATGTGGCACAATTATGTGTATCATTAAATATATGGCAAATGAGAGAATGTGGGAAAGTGTTATGTAAACTGTAAAGCACCTTACAAATATGACTGCTATAATGTGTCAGGTTAGCACTGAGTTTTGATTACAACTATAAAGTCCACTTATTTCATATCTTTGTAGACTTGTCCAAGTATATGGGCATACGCTTATAACTTTTAAGGCATTATCAAAAACTTTGTTCCTCAATGACTCTTGAAAGGTTTCACTCAGTTCTGGTATGTTAATGAAAAATTAGTCTTACCTTTGATCACCATGTTACTTAACCTTTATTACCCATACATAACCTGTGTGCTTTCTCATTCCATCTTCTGAGTTTCTCCTCTAACTAGAAAGCTTTACTTTCTGCCATTTACGTTACTTAAAAAATAAAATAAAAATAGAAACATACACACAAGACAAAACCAGACTGAAATGTTTTCTTAAAAACACACTAGCAAGTCTGTTTGACCTTTTTTCTTGTTTTCCAGCATCCACTTGCTGCCATTACATGAACCTGTTGAGAGCATTCTGTATATAGCTACTTGTGGTTAGCTGCTTGGGGTTATTGACTGGGCTACATTTTGTGATTCAGTGGCATCAGCTGGGCTAATTCAGAATCAAGGCTGCAGGAAATGACCCTCTGATCTCTCACCATGGTTGCCTTCAACTTATGCTCATGAAGAAATCAACAACAGCTTTCAATGGTGGTTTTCCATACAAAGATGGGCCTGGTTTCGCAAATATCATTTGGAAATGTGTATTTCATCTAAAAATACATAAAAATAACTACATCCAAATAATTTGCAGTACGAAAAATATATCCATATGCTGGAAACCGAGAAGAAAACAGGAGGAGTGAAACTTGGTGGTCAGCTTGCTTATAGGTCTGACAGATAGTGACAATGCTCTGTGATGTGAACTATTGGCAACTTCCTCATCTCATTTTTTATAATATACAAGCATAGTCGTTTCAGGTCACAAGACTATGTTAAGGAAACTAAAACAGTTTAATCTTAGAATTCAGAAAAATGCAAAAGCTTACCTTTTTATAGAGGAGTTTCTCAGTTCCTCTATGAAACTCAAAATCACAGAATCAGAAGTCAAGTTCCAGGCTCTTCCCAGCTCCAAAATGACTGGGCTTTTTCTCTTCTTCTCTGGAGCTTTTGGAAGAGGCAGAGCTATAACATCTTTATTCATACTACATTTATTACTACCAACCCCCACCACCAAAAACAGGGCAGCAATTACCAGTATCTTGTGGGGAAAAGAACTTTGTGATAAAAAGCCACAAAAAGGAAGGCTATAAAACCAAGGTGGCACTGAATCTTTGCAGCTGTATAGGGGACACTTACTTTTCTACTTAGAAGGATTTCCTTTGAAGAACCTCATCTCCCCCCATTCTAGATTGTTCAGTAGGGTAGATCTTGTCTTTCCATGGTGAGCTTCTGACCAGGGCCTGGTCTGAGTACTTTATCCACCTGTCCACAGTAATTGTTCAGGGATAGAAGTGTGGCCCAAATCACACTTATCCTCTTCCCTGAGACTTTTCCATGAGACTTTTTGGTGTTATTAGGCAAAATACACTTTCATTTTCTAGATAGAAACCTTATAAGGCCATAGCAGCATGAGACTGCAGGGGCTATCTTGCCCCTGAGTGAAGAGAAAATGAGGCTAAGCAAAGCTGAGAGGAAGGGGAAGGGAGGGTCCTAATGACATCTCTGACCTCCAGGATCTAACTCTGCCCCAGTTTCCCAGTATCAAGTAATAAATTATCCCCTATCCATTTTTTCTTAAGGTTGTTTGAGTTAGGTTTCTGTTACAACCAAGAGTCCTAATTAATGTAATGTGCATCTTTATACAGCTCTTGTGCTTCTTCTTGTATTTAAGAATTGCATCATGTTGTATAAAGTTGACACTGTAAATTGCTTTATATACATATTTTCTTAATGCATGATTTTTAGGATAACCATGTAAGAAAAAAGACTAGAAAATGATATATAAAAAATGGATCTTAGACAAGTTATCCAATTAAATAACAGGCAAAGAATTTGGATAGTTTTCCAAAGAAGATACACAAATGGCCAATAAGCACATGAAAAAACGCTTGACATCATTAGTCATTAAAGAAGTGTAAATCAAAACCATAAGGACATACCATTTTTACATCCACTAGGATGGCTGTAATCAAAAAGGAAAAAGAAAATAACAAGTGTTGGAAAAGATGTGGAGAAAATGAAACCCTCACATTTCTGGTAGGAGGGTAAGGAGATGCAGTTGCTGTGGAGAACAGTTTGACAGTTCCTCAAGAAGTTAAATATATTGTGATTTCACAGAAATGGCAGAGTAGAGAGTTACAAGAATCAGTCCTCCACTGAAGCTATCATTAAGCTGGCAAAAACAGATAGAAGCAACTTTTTCAAAACTCTGGAATCTAATAAAACTTAGAGTGGAGTCCAACCAGTGGTGTGCTTAATGAAAAAAGAAGCTGTTAATTTTCAGTAACAAAATGTTGCAGCATTTTTGTTTACCTGTCTACCATCCCCCTATTCCCCAGTTCAGTGGTGACTGTGGGATAGTAGTCCACATTCCTGGTGTGGCTTGCTAGTGCCAGGGGAGGAGAGATGCACCCTATTCTCAAAAGACTGTAGCTGTCAATTTTGCCCTGTCTGGTGGTTCCCTTCAGGACCCATGCTGAGTCTGACCTTTGTTTTGGCCCCTCAGCCTGGAGCAGCTTTCCAAGCTGCTGGTGATTGCCTAGAGCAAGAGACAGAGAATTGAACAAGCAGCAGATGGATCTAAAAGCCTGACAAGTAGGAGACAGAGGAGGAAGCTACACAGGGGAATAAGGACTCTAAAGGGCTGTGTGATTGGGGAAATCCATCATACAAAGTGCATGCCCAGGGATAGATGCATGTTCAGAAAAGACCTGAGAGGACCCTAGGTTTGCACCTTTGGCTGATCTTTGGGTTCCATGCAATCAGGAGGTGAAGGCTAAGGCAGAGTTTCAGGCAAATTGGCTTAGCATTGAAGTAGTGCCCCAGCTCAGAGCCAACCTACAAAAACCTGGAGAGGTGGTGGTGGTGTTTTTACTCCAGCCATTTAAGGAAATCTCTGCCAGGACACTGACTGACTGCTGAGATAATGGAACAGAGTTTCAGTGATCACACAACAAGAAATGCAGTCTTAGCAAAAATAGTTTAGAAAAGTCAATGAACAAATGGATGACAACAGCCTTCAATAATCAAAAACAACAAACCCTGGGAAGGGGATGATTCCCAGATGGACATACTGTAATATTCAAAATCTTCAGTTTTAAACAAAAAAAAATCACAAGGTATAAAAAGAATAAAGAAAGTATGGTTCATTCACAGGAAAAAAAAAAAAGTTTATAGAAACCATCACCAAGGAAGCCCAAACATTGGACTTACAAGGCAAATATTTTATATTTTTTTTAAGATTTTTTTTTTTATTTTTTTAAAGTAATCGCTACACCCAACATGGGGCTCAAACTCACAACCCCAAGATCAAGAGTTGCATGTTCTAATCACTAAGCCAGCCAGGCACCCCATTTGGCAAATATTTTAAATCAAATGTCTTAAATATGTTCAAAGAGCTAAAGAAAACAATAGACAAAAAATCTAAAGGAAACTAGGAGAATGAAGAAATGAATAAAGAATATCCATAAAGAGATATATATTATTTATATTATTATATTAATATACATTTATTATTATAAGAACCAAATAAAAATTCTGGAGCTAAAAAGTATAGTAGCTGAAACAGAAAACTCATTACAGGGATTCAACAGCAGATTCAAGCTGGCAAAAGAAAAAAATGAGTGAACTTGACGATAGGACTATTGAAATTATTCTGAGTAGGAGAAATAAAAAAAAGAAGACTCTCAACCAAGATTCTATATCCACAAAACTATCCTTCAAACAAAAGGGAAATTAAGACCTTTCTAGAGAAACAAAAGCTGAGGAGTTCATCACTAGTAGACCTGTCCTACATGAAAAACAAAAGGGAATCTTTTAGGCTGAAATGAAAGGACACTAGACAATAACTCAAACTGTATAAAGAAAGAAATCCAGTAAAAGTAACCATGTAGGTAAATATAAAAGCCAGTATTATTGTATATTTGGTTTGTAACTTCCCATTAGTTTCCCATATGATTTAAAAGGCAAATGCATAAAACAGTAACTGTAAATCTATGTTAATCAGAACACACACAAAAATCTATGTTAATCAGCACACAATTGTAACAAACACCATAAGGATGGAGATGAACTGAAATGAAGGGAGAGAGAGTTCTACAATAGTAGTTGGAGATTCCAATATTTCACTTCAATAAAGAACAGAACATCTAGACAGAAGTTCAATAAGGAAAGAGAGGACTTGAACAACACTGAACTAAGTAGACCTAACAGACATATACAGAATACTTCATCCAGAAACAGAATACACACTGGACTCCTGGGTGCCTCAGTTGGTTAAGTGTCTGCCTTCGGCTCAGGTCATGATCCCAGGGTCCTGGGATCGAGTCCCACATCAGGTCCTTGCTCAGCAGGGAGCCTGCTTCTCCCTCTGCCTGCCACTCCCCCTGCTTGTGCACACACTCTCTCTCTGACAAATAAAATCTTAAGAAAAAAAAAACCAGAATACACATTCTTTTCAAGTGCACATAAAACATTCTCCAGAATAGATCATATATTAATTAGTCCACTAAACAAAACTCAATACATTTAAAAAGACTGAAATCAGGGGCGCCTGGGTGGCTCAGTCCTTAAGCGTCTGCCTTTGGCTCAGGTCATGATCCCAGGGTCCTGGTATCAAGCCCCACATCGGGCTCTCTGCTCAGCGGGAAGCCTGTTTCTTCCTCTCCCACTCCCCGTGTTCCCTCTCTCCTGTCTCTCTCTCTGTCAAATAAATAAATTAAAAAAAAAAAAATCTTAAAAAAAAAAAAGACTGAAATCATACAAAGTATCTTCTCCAACCACAATAGAATCACGCTAAAAATCAACAAGAGAAGGAAAACTGGAAAATTCTCAAAATGTGGAAATTGAACAACACACTCTTAAATAACCAATGGGTCGAAGAAGAACTCACAAGAAAATGATAAAATACTTTGAGATGGATGAAAATAAAAATACAACATATCAAAACACATGGGATGCAGTGAAAACAGTGCTAAGAGGGAAATTACAGCTATGAACATTTAAAAAAGAAAGATCTCAAATCAATAACCTAACTTTACACCTTGAGGAACTAGAAAAAAAAGAGCCAACTAAACTAAAAGATAGTAGGTAGGAGGAAAGAAAGAATAAAGATTACAGCAGAGATGAACAATAGAATCAATGCAACCAAGAGTTGGTACTTTGAAAAACTGACAAAATTGGCAAAACTTTAGCTAAAAAAAAAAAAAAACTTTAGCTAAATTTACTTAGAAAAAAAAGAAGATGCAAGTAACTAAAATCAGAAATGAAAGGACATTACTACTGACCTTACAGAAATAAGAAAGCATTATAATACTATGAAAAACTGTATGATTAAGTAGGAACCAGACAACGATGTCACTTTTACCACTACTTTTTTTTTTTTTTTAAGATTTTATTTACTCATTTGACAGAGAGAGAGGGAACACAAGCAGGGGGAGTGGGAGAGGGAGAAGAAGGCTTCCTGCTGAGCAGGGAGCCCGATGTGGGGCTCGATCCCAGGACCCTGGGATCATGACCTGAGCCGAAGGCAGACACTTAACCACTGAGCCACCCAGGCGCCTCTTTACCACTGCTTTTAAACACTGTACTGGAAGTTCTAGCTAAAGCGATTAAGGAAGAAAAAGAAATAAAAGGTATCCAAATTGGAAAGGGGGAGGTAAAACTATCTCTATTCTCAAATGACATGATCTTATAATATACAAAATATATATTACATATATAAAGAATCCACACACACACAAAACTAGAAGAAATTAACAAGTTCAGCAAAGTTTCAGGATATAAGATCAACTCATTAAAGTAAATTGTGTTTCTATACACCTGCAATAGGAAATTAAGAATCAATTCCATTTACAATAGCATACAAAAGAATAAAACACATAGGAATAAATTTATTTTTTTTTAAGTTTTTTTTTTTTTAATTTATTTGACAGAGAGAGACACAGCAAGAGAGGGAACACAAGCAGGGGAGTGGGAGAGGGAGAAGCAGGCTTCCCGGGGAGCAGGAAGCCTGATGTGGGGCTCAATCCCAGGACCCTGGGATCACAACCTAAGTGTCTGAAGGCAGACACTTAGCCAGCTGAGCCACCCAGGCGCCCCAGGAATAAATTTAGCCAGGACGTGAAAGACATACATAAAACTACAAAATACTGCTGAAAGATATTAAAGAAGACCTAATAAACAAAAAGGTGTCTATGTTCATGGATTGGAAGATCTAATATTGTCAAAATGGTAATGCTATCCAAAGTGATCTACAGATCTAAAACAATCCCTATCAAAATTCCAATGACCCTTTTTACAGAAATGAAAAGCCAATCTTCAAATTCATATGAAATGCAAGGGGGCCCAAACAGCAGAACAATCTTAAAGAAGAACAAAATTGGAAGTCTCACACTTCTCAATTTCAAAACTTACTACAAAACTACAATGATCAAAATAGAGTACTGGCATCAGGATGACATATAAGCCAATGGAATAGAACTAAGAGTCCAGAAATAAATCCATACATCTATAGCCAATCAATTTCCAACAAGAATGCCTAGACCATTCAATGTAGAAAAAACAGTCTCTTTAACAAATGTCCTGGAACAACTGTACTTCCACATACAAAAGAATGCAGTTGGACCCCTACCTCACACTATATACAAAAATTAACTCAAAACAGGTCAACAACCTAAACATAAGAGCTAAAACTAAAAAATTCTTAGAAGAAAACATAGGGATAAATCTTCATGGTTTTAGATTTGGCAATAGTTTCTTAAATATTATGCCAGAACCACAAGTAATAAAAGAAAAAATGGATAAATTGGACTTAATCAAAATTAAAATCTTTTGTGCATCGATATTATGAAGAAAGTGAAAAGACAACATACAGCATGGGGAAAATACCTGATATCTGATAAAGGTCTAGTATCCAGAATATATAAAGAATCCTTACAATTGTAGAACAAAAAGACAACCCAATTAAAAAATGGGCAAAGGACTTGAGTAGATATTTCTCTAAAAAGATATATAAAATGCCAAAAAGCACATGAAAAGATGCTCATGGATTGGAACCACACAAACACTTGTAGTTATCAAGGAAAGGTAAATCAAAACCACAATGAAACACTAGGATGGCTATAATATATATAAAAAAAGAAATTAACAAGGGTTATGAATATGGAGAAATTGGAACCATTGTACATTGCTGAAAGGGATATAAAATGATAAAGGTGCTGTGGAAAAGTTTGGCAGTTCCTCAAAAAGTTAAACATAAAATAATCATATGACTTAGCAATTCCACTTCTAGTTATATTCTGAAAAGAAGTGAAAACAGGTACTCAAACACATACTTATTCATGAATGTTCACAGCAGTACTATTCACAATAGCTAAAAGGTCGAGATAACCCAAATGTCCATCAATGAATGAATGGATAAACAAATTGTGGCATACACATACAATGGAATATTATTCAGCCATGCTACAACATGGATTAACCTCAAAAACATTATGCTAAGTGAAAGAAGCCAGACAGAAAAGGTCACATATCCTAGGACTCCATTTATGTGAAATAACCAGAATATGTACATCATAGAGACAGAAAGCAGACTGGTAATTGCCAGGGGCTGCAGGGAGGTAGGAATGAGAACTAACCGCTTAACAGACACAAGGTTTTATTTTGGGGTGATGAAAAGGTTTTGGAACTAGACAGAGGTAATGGTTACACAACATTGTGAATATACTAAATGTCACTTGTTTATTTTAAAGTGGTTATTTTGTTACGTGAATTTCACCTCCTTAAAAAACAAAAATAAAAACAAAACCACAATACCTGAGATAGCAGTCAGAAAGGTGATTACATTTTGGGAAAGTAGTGACTGGAAGAGGACGCGAGAAGGGCTTCAGGGTTGTTGGTCATATTTTATTTTTTGATTTGGGTGCTGGTTACCCAGGTGTGGTCATTCTGTTAAAATCTTGGGGCTGAACAATTGTGATGTGTGTACTTTTGCTTTTTATATGCACCTTGTACTTCAAAATAAAACTTTACTTTTAAAAAGTTAGGAAGAGTTACCATATGACCCAGGATATACCCAAGAGGACTGAAAAACTTCTGTCCACACAAACACTTGTATACAAATTTTCACATTCACAGCAGCATTGTTCATGATAGCCCAAAAGTGGAAATAACTCAAAATTCCTCAACTAGTAGAGACACAAAATGTGGTATATTCATACAGAATATTATTCAACTATAAAATACAGTGAAGTACTGACACATGGTACAACATGATGAATGAACCTTGAAAACACGTTAAACGAAAGAAGCCGGACACAAAAGACCACACATTGTATGATTCCATTTATAAGAATTTCCCAGAATAGGTAAATCCACAGAGATGGAAAGCAGATTGGTGACTGCCAGCAGCTTTGGGGTAGGGAATAATTGGGAGTGTCTGCTAATGGGTATGTTCTTCTTTAGGGGGGGTGGTAGATATGTTCTGGAATTAGATAGTGGTGATAGCTGCACAATCCTGAAGATATGAAAAATCACTGGATTTTACACTTATTTAAAAAAAAGATTTATTTATTCATTTGAGAGAGCGAGAGAAAGAGAGCATGAGCAGGGGAGGGGCAGAGGGAGAGAGAGAAGCAGGCTCCCCGCTAAGCAGGAGGCCCCATGTGGGACTTGATCCCAGAAACCTGGGATCATGACCTGAGCTGAAGGCAGACGCTTAACTGACTGAGCCACCCAGGTACCCTGGATTTTACACTTTAAAATGGTGAATCTTATGTTACAAGAAATTTAATGTTATATGAAATATATTTCAATAAAAAAGATTTTTTTTTTAAGATATTATTTATTTGACACAGAGAGAGAGAGATTACAAGTGGGGGAGGCAGAGGGAGAGGGAGAAGCAGGCTCCCCACCGAGCAGGGAGCCTGATGCAGGGCTCCATCCCAGGACCCCGGAATCATGACCCGAGCTGAAGGCAGACATTCAACCGACTGAGCCACCCAGCTGCCCCTCAATAAAAAAGATCTTAAATACTTTTATAATATATGTGAACTCTAGCATATTAAATAAAAGAAGTTCAAAGGGAAAATATTACTCTGGAAATGTTCCCTTTCCCCCTGCCCATCCCTCAGATCAGCACATCTTGGAGGTAGACCTCAGATACCACTGGAGAATGGGGGTAGGTGAGTCGCAGTTGGGAATGAAAACTGTGACCAACAGCCCTGATTGTCCCTGAGCAGAGGAATGTGGTAGCTGATGAGAAACAGACCTTGGGCTAGAGCAAGGGAGAGAAAGTCAAAAGCGGTGGTGACAAAGTGTTGGCAGCCCTGGCACCAGAACGCTTTCCATTGCTTCATCCACAGGGCTGATGCCTTAGGAATGAGTAGTCCTTAACTGATTTCAGCCTCAACAGCCAGAGGCCCTGAGATACTTCTTAACCCTTAACTCCTTACTTCTTACTCTTTTGATGGCTCTGGTTGCGTATCATGCAGTTCTTTGTACTTGTAGTATTATGAGTAGTTCCAAAACCTACCCAAACTATAGATTTATTTGGGTAGACCTCTGGGACTCTAAAAATGCCTGGATTTACAAATCAGGAACAAAAGTAGGCTAACAGTTTTAACAGTAAATCTGGATCAGGGGCAGCTCAGATTTAAATGAATCTCAGAGTTTAAAGGACTTAAAGGTCAGCTAAATTTTATTTGATTTTTGTTCTCATCCTCCACAGTCCCAAAATGCAAAAAGGAGTAAATGAAGCACCTCCTGGTATTTCAGATAGAGAGGAAAGGGTTTCCTTGGTACTTTGAAATGATGCTTGCCTGCTTCTGTGTGCCAGATGTTTCAATGTGTATAGGAGAGATAGTAAGACTGAATGGAAACTGGTAGTAGACAGCTGTCCTGAAGTCTGAAATCCCAGGATTTTTCAAACACCACCTTTGTGGTTGTCTCCCCTTCCTTCCACCTCTTTTGTCTACTCATACCCCACTCCTCTAAGAACATAGCCAATTTTTACCTTGATTCTTATATGGACCAGTAATGAAACTGAAATAGTAGATGTTCTACTTGCTGGGAACACTGGGGCCCAGGCTCCAGGAGGGATGAGAAGATCTGAAAGCCACAGCTTTAACATAAGTATCATGGCACAAAATGAGAGATGGAAGTTAGGAGATAAAATTGAGACGAGGAGTGGCAAGCTTAAAATATACATCTCTATGCCTATCCTTATCTTGTTCCTCTTCTACTGCTACAAAGATACAGACATACATACACAACATTTGCTCACCCAACTTGCCATTTGCTGGCAGCTGAGGGCCTTCTCCACAACCCATCCCTGTCCCGGCAGCCATACCTACCTTCCGGAAGTCAGACCCTGGAGGTGACTGCCTACTGACCCCAAGGTGCTCATTATTTCTTTGGTCTCTGTAGCTTCTATCCCTGCCTCCCTGAGGCAAAGATGTCTTCTGCAGTCCTTCCTTCTGGAAATCTGGACTTTAGCAACTGCTCCTGAAAAGAAAGGAAGAGAGGTAGGCAAGAGTCAGTAAATGTCTTCATAGTCATCCTTGTATAGGTAGGCTATAGGAGAGCTGAGTAGCAGTTTAGCAGGGACAGAGCATCAGAGAGAAGATGAAAGAAAATAATACCTCAATATGGTTGATTTTGCCTCTTTGCAATCCTTCTCTATACCCTCTATCATGTAACTCTGCCTCTCCTTTCACCCTGCTTACTCACTTCCCTTAAACATGCATTTCCATTGCTTTCTACAAAATATTTTCTCTCCTGATCCTCTACAAGTGGAATGAAAAAAAGCCTGTAAAGCTTTTAATCTATACATCTAGAAACAAATTATCTTCTACTCTCTTGCATGCAACAGACTTTGTGATATCTTTTTGTGTACCTGCATTAAAGGTAAAGCTCTGTGAAGACAGGCAGTTTGATTTATAGAATTTCACGTCCAAATGCTTGTACACTTGGAAATGTATAACCAGTTGAACAGAAGTAGGGGCAAGAGATAGGGAAGAGGAAGAGAGAAAAAAAGAAAAGAATAATATTCTTCAAGAATGGAGATTGAATGAATGTTGCCCAGCCTTGATGGGAATAGAGGAATTTAGGGAGTCTTGCGGGAAAAACAGCAGGACCTATTTGCAATGATAGAAAACTGATGAGTGGAGTGACACAGATGCGTTGAGTAGGAGACACACACTTAAAAAAAAAAACAAACCCACACTATTTTTTAATATATAAAAGTACACAAAAGGAAAAAAAATAAACCCTGGTCTGTAATTCCACAGCACCAGATCACCCTTACTGACATAAAATTACATATTTTACATGTGTGTACATATTTTATATGTGCATGAAATATTTATATTTTATTTTAAATGCATTTTACGGTCAGGATGTTGAAACAAAAAATACAGAATAAAAAAATGAAAGCATTCTTCCTCCTTCTACCAACAGCAACTGTTTTTGCTTTTTTTTTTTGTTTCCTTCCGGAAATCAAACTGGCAGCTTGACTGAGGGTTCTGATGAGGTGACAAGAGGATGTTGGGCCAAATCAGAGGTCTGGGGTTTGACTGACTGATTTCAACAAGCCTACAAAATCTGGCTGGAAGGAGAAAGGTAGCCATCTGAATATCAAAGTTCCCAAAGCCTTTGATTGCTAACTCTAAGGTCAGTTTACCCCCATTCCCAACCTCAGTTTTTCTTCCAGGAGCTTCAGGGGCAATGTGTCCCCCTCCTGGCCTGACACCACTATTTCAGACTGCTGCTGAAATGGAGGCCAATGACAGCCTTGATATGCACTCCCTGCCATAGACAGTGCTTTGTATACAAAGATCCAGGACAGAAGCAGGATAGTTGGCTTCTGGAGTGCTAAGTATCCAACAAATACAATCAGCAACTTGCAGCTTTTACCCACTAAATTGCTGAGTATTCACAGTCAATAAAAAATAGCTACTATTACCACATTGATTCTTTTAACAAATTTTTATTGAGCACTGTGTGTGTGTCAGGCAACTGTGCACTGGGAATACAATGAAAAAACAGTAAGCAAAGAGACTTCCTGCTCTCGAGAGTTTATAATCTAGTTGTGGGGGGAGGGATATATTGATCAAATAAACACATAAATGTAAAATTAAAACCACACTGTTACAGTGAAAACATACATGGTCCTTTCAAAGTGTATAAGGGTTATGGGCAAATCAGCATGGCAGTGTTTTTTTTTTTTTTAATGATAGATTTTCATTATCAGTTCAACTGCTTGGCTTATCAATGAATACTGTGAGTGTATACATAGTTTTTTTTGGTTAAAAATTACACAAACATTATAATAAAATTCAACTCTATATAAAGAAATGTGTTCACAATCACAAACTCTTTTCATCTGTCCATGTTCTCACAAAATTGTTAATCAATGACCTTGCTTAGGTTCTTTCTTGCCCCAGGCTTAGTAGGTATGTTTTGTTAATGTGAGAACCAAGGTTTATGAATATATATTTTTAAGTAAGCTCTAGGCCCAATGTGGGGCTTGAACTCATGACCCCGGTATCGAGAGTCCCATGCTCTACCAACTGAGCCAGCCAGGCACCCTAGGAATATATTTTTAAAAACCCATCTCACTTTCTTTGTGGGCTGTCTCCTCTCTAAACCTGCCTCCACCTTTTTCTTTTTAAGAAGTACACTTAATGTCCCTGTTGGATGCCTGTATCTATATGTCCAACCCTCCCCGCCCCTCAACACCTTACCATTCTTCTTCAGCCCTTGAACCTGGCAGCCTGATAAATGAACATATGTCCTGGCATGCTTTGATACCAAACCATTAGCTAACCTTTTGACTTTTACATTTTTTTTTAGAGATGGAGCTGTATTAGGTACAATGGGAATACTTACCAGAAAGGTTAAGAGTCTTATATGCCCTGAAGCTAGCTGTGAATAGGAGATAGATGGTTTATGAAGCAAGAGGTCTCCATTCACAAAGCCAAAGGGATTTCTGGGGGGAGGGGGGGGGGTTATTTACACAACTTAGGCAAAATTAGGTGTTTGCCCAAATTTAAACCTAACTGCTGATGATGTATTCTCACAGTTGAGGGAGCCTAATAAAAACTTTCTGATGTTTGCAGAATTTTGAAGTAGTTATAGATGATACCATAAGCGACATGTAAAGATTAGGGCCCCCTCCTTGCCTTTATCTCCAAAGGTGAACATTTACTCAGTGCTGTGATAGTACTGAATAAAAAGAAACAGGTCCTACCTTTAGGTGCTGGCAACTGGTTACAGTTCTGCCTTTCCTTTCACAGGGCTTCTCTGGAAAGCTAGATCCCACTGATCAAAGAGGGATCACACTTTCAGCCCAGACTAAACGCTCTCCCTCTACTAGCTCAAGGCAGATATACAGAATGCCATTGCTTCTTACAAGTAAGCATTCATTATTCTAGAAAAAGCCTGAAGTTATCAAGAGAATACAAAGGTAACAGAACAAAGTACTCCAGCCCCAGCTACTTAAATTAGTTCTGTACTTCCTAGATTTTGCCTCTCTTCCCTTCCCTACCCTTCCCAAGAGTCCCCCTCTTAATCTAAAGAGTAAGATTCTGACTCCCTCAGAGAAGGAATAAGGGTACAAGTGAGATCTGAAGAAGACTAACCCCTCCCCACTCTAAACCCACCCATCTCGCCCCAAAGGGAGGTGAACTATCAGTAACAACTGGCATTTTAAACTTGTAGGTTCTCTGAATTCCTGTAGATAGGCTGCTAGAATAGGGAGGGAGTAGCTCTCCAGAAAAACAAATATATTTCTGAAGCTCATGTGGGTTTACGTTCGTCTAAAGGGCAGCTTCTAAGTCACTCTATGGTTTCCAGGCCAGAAAACTGCCTAAAAAGCAGACCTAGGAGGACTACTCAGGATGGTATGATCCTGGACATATTTGGGGCTGAGATGGAGACAATGATCCTCATTTTAAAGAAGGAAAAAAAAAAATTCCTGTGGCACAGTGAGGTGAAGTAACTTGTCCAAAATCACAGCAAGGCAAATGGCTGAGGAACATTCACGGACTGAACTCTCCCAAGTATGTCTCTTTCCACAAGATGATGAACAACAGAGGCCAGGACATGTTCTAAATAGACATTAGTCAAGGCTCTAGAAAAACTAAATGGCCTCCCCAAAGTCAACATAGGATTCTGCAGCTCTGCACCCAAATTAACAGGGAAAAAAGAATTCTTAGGGAAAAAGACCAACTTTGCATTATTTTTGAGTGGGGAGAAGACAAGACTCTGAAGCCTCTGTTTAGCCAGGCTATAAATTTCTGCCAACAAGGATGTCAAAAGGAAACCAGGACAGAGATTAGGAAATCTGAGGACTAAGCTCTCTGATCCCTAAGGACGCCCTCAGCAAGAACATGAATATTCTTGGGGGAGTTCAGCTTCCAGAGTAGCACAAGGCGAGCCAACATAAGGGTGTATGAAAAGCTTCACAGTAAGAAGATGTCAAAACCAGACCACTGTCGCCTACTCACTACCCATCTGGGCAGCACTGGGGCACAGATAACATAACTTCACAATCTGACATGAAGAAAGTAGCCCCAACAAGTGGGGCAAAAGAAACTGGGAGGGAGGAGACAGCAGGAGTTCATTTTTCTAGTCTTCCTGTGGAGTTCAAATGTGTGTGGTTTCAAAACAAAAATCCAGAAAGAAACATGAGGTTAATGCATTTATTCCAAGTAATTAACACGTTAAAAATAAAATTAAACTTGTCCAAGCCAACTCATAAATTCTTTAATCTTTTGAACAAAATGTACAACCCAAAACATCACACTATGGTGGAAATAATTTGGGAAAGGGAGAGGTAGAGGAAGGGAATACATATGGATTGTGGAACAGAGAATGAGTCCAATCCCAAAACAAGTTTCAGCTCTTCTACCTCTTCAGAACAGAAATGGCTGCTAAACAATTTAACACAAAGTGTTACTGGATCACAATACAATGAACAAAAGGCCATTTCAAAAATAAAAGTGACCCAAAAAGCATATCTGCACCTGGCATTCAGCCATGAATCAGCCTTACCGATTTGTCGTCTTCCAAAAGTGAACCTGCTAGATTTTCTTCCATGTTTATTGAGGCCATTTCCAAACAGGTTTGTGAGTTAGCAGGACCATCTCAAGCAAAGGCAACAGAATAAAGAAGTACGGGGTTGACATGGCACAAGGAAGTAAACAGTAAACAAAAGAGCTACTCACGCTGCATTTCAAACAATGTTAAGGCAGGCTCATCCAAATGGAAGCCTAAGAGATGAACAATCCTTCCTTCATTAGTCGTTTTCCATTTCAGCAGGCTTTCTGGTGTTTCTCCCAGAGATCCATCAGCTGCCCAGGAAATTGGGTAGGAATACAACATAGCAATTGGAGAAGTCAGCTCTGTCTCCCTCCTCCCCCATATTCCAGAAATGGTAGAGTCAAAGCCAAAATACAATCAAAGCACACTATGTGGTGAGCCAGACAGACATTGGATTTTAA